ATTAAATATGTAAATTATAAGATATGTATATAATAAAAAATTTTATAAAATTTATTTATAATAATTGATTATATTTAACAACTTGTCAACTTGATGCCAAGTAGGAGCAACTTCTAATTAACTTCTCGTCAAGAACCACTTCGATGGACGTGCAGAAGAATATTGAATCGGTAGTGGAGAGAAGATCGAGAGAAATATTTGGACCACCGCCCGGGAAAAAATTAGTCATCTTCATCGATGACATGAACATGCCAATCGTGGACACTTACGGAACCCAACAACCTATTGCGCTCCTTAAACTGCTGTTCGAAAGAGGTGGCTTTTACGATCGCGGACGTGATCTAAACTGGAAGTATATGAAAGACATTTGTGAGTATTGTCATACAGAATGTCCCAAAAATAATATTGCTTTTTCCGCAATTTTCAGCCAATTTTCTTTCTGCGATTTAATGAAACGTTACTTTTTTCATTATTTTATAATATCAAAAATTTTATATTTTTTACGATAAGCTATGTTAATAAATTATGCAACACTTGAATTATATTAATATATCAAAAATATACCTTTTTACGAAATAGATTATTTAGCTGCCATGGGAAAACCTGGTGGAGGCAGGAACGAAGTCGATCCACGATTTATCTCGATGTTCTCAGTTTACAACGTGACTTTTCCATCGAGCGAGACTCTCAATTATATTTACACGAGTATTCTGTCCGGTCACCTGCAAACGTTTTCTGAGGAAATTCAATCTATCGCAAAAGGACTCGTACAATTGATGTTGGAAATTTACGAGGTAATTTTGCAACAAATATTTATTATAATATAGTATCAACAACATGTGATCCTATTCAGACAGTTAGAAAAGAGTTACTACCAACACCGTCCAAATTCCATTACATTTTCAACATGCGTGATCTTTCAAGAATCACGGCTGGACTCCTTCAGAGTCATTCTAACTTCTATCCAGACGTAAAACAATTCATTAGATTATGGAGGAATGAGGTCACCAGAATCATGTGCGATCGTCTTATCAGCGTTCAAGTAATAAGCCTTATATTTTTTCTTTCCGTTGATTAAAACTTCACTTATAAATAGTTTCGTCGTTCTAGGACGAGAATTTCGTCATCGATCGGTTGAAGGAGAAGATACAGAATTATTGGGAATTAGAACCAGAAGTGATTCAGTATAGTTTACGAGATCCGATGCTTTACGGAGATTTCAGAAACGCTTGCAACGAGGATGAGCCTAGATTTTACGAGGATCTGCTAGACTACGAGGCGGTTTACAGCTTGTTCCTGGAAGTTCGTTCTTTTACTTCGAATTTAATTAATTTTCTTTTTTGATTATCTTTCTACATGTATCAATTTGCAATGCAATTCGCGATTGCAACATTACGCTTATAAAGAAAATCTCGCTATTTGCAGATTTTTGATGAGTACAATGAGAAGACCAAAACCAAGCTACATATGGTCCTCTTTAACGATGCGCTTGAGCATCTTACCAGAGTGCATCGTGCACTCCGAATGCACCGTGGTCACGTGCTTGTCGTTGGTACCGGCGGCAGCGGTAAGAAGTCCGTGATAAAGCTAGCGTCTTTCGCCGCCAGTTACCAGCTCTTCCAGATCGTCCTGAGTCGCGGTTACAACGAGACATTCTTCCGCGAGGACATGAAGAGCCTGTACAACATGGTCGGCGTAGAGAATAAAAGGGTTGTGTTCATGTTTACGTCCGCCCACATTAAGAACGAAGGCTTTCTCGAGCTGGTGAACAACATGCTGACGGCAAGCTTCGTGCCGGCTCTCTTCAACGAGGAAGAAAGGGACGCGATTGTCACTTCCTGCAGAGAAGTGGCGGTTAAAGCAGGCTTCGATATCTCAAAGTGATCTTAATATCCTTTCATCTATTCTGGAATCTCCGATTCAATTTTTTGAAGAATACGCGTAATTTATTCTTGATTGTAGAAAGAGCGTCTGGTCGTACTTCGTTAAGACGTGCATCGCGAATTTGCGAATAGCGCTGACGATGAGTCCGTCGGGTGACGCTTTGCGAACGCGATGCCGCAATTATCCAGGCTTAATTCATAACACCACCGTGGATTGGATGTTTCCGTGGCCCGAAGAGGCCTTGATTGCTGTCGCGAACGTTCTTCTTAGAGACGTAAGCGGTCGCATGTACAAATTAGGGAACATTTAACGAAATGAGAAACTTTTTTCCAGAATCCGATTGTGCCAGAGGAATACAGAGAGATGATTGTAAATCACATTGTGTACGTACACACATCTGTACTGCAATACACTGTGGATTTCGCGACGAAACTGAAAAGACGAAATTATGTCACGCCGAGGCATTTCCTAGATTTCATCAACACTTATCTCAAACTACTGACAGAGAAGAAAAACTTCATAAATTCTCACTGTGCGCGTCTTTCCGGAGGTAGCTGCTTCATTTTATTACAAACTATTTCTCTCTCTTTATTTTATTATATCTATATATTTTTTCATTAATAATGTGTAATATAGTAAATTTAATGATATTTTAAATCTCTTTCTAGTTTAATCTCAAGAAATTATTTTTTATATCTTAAAATAAAAAAGGACACAATTTCATGTCAGATTCTTCAATAAATATTTCTGTCAGGATTGCAGAAAATCGCGGAGGCTTCGGTAACTCTGATTGAACTGAACAAAATTCTGGCTGTGCAAAGGATCAAAGTGGCCGACCAGACGAAGAATTGTGAGCAGTTGCTCGCGTCCATCGGCGAAAGCACGGATGTCGCGATGGAGAAGAAAAATCTGAGCGAGGAGAAAAGAAAGGAAATTGAGGACAAGAAGAAGATGATCACCAAGGAGGAAACGGATGCCAAGAAGGCATTAGTAGAGGCTCAACCGGCTCTCGATGCGGCCAGACTCGCACTGGGCGAACTCGATAAAGCCGACATCACGGAGATAAGGTAATTATTGTTCAGAATAAATTTTGAAGAAAAAGAATACTCTTATATCGAGGTATTTAATATTGAATTGGAAAAGTTTGAAGCAAAAAAGAGTTTAAATAAGAGACAAACGGAAACACACACAATCGGATTTAAAACTCGTTAAAGAATTGGCGATGGTAATTTAGATCCTTCGCCACTCCGCCTGAGCCAGTGCAGATCGTTTCGGAATGCGTCGCGATGCTTCGTGGGGTCAAGGATGTGTCCTGGAAAGGAGCGAAAGGAATGATGAGCGATCCGGGATTCTTGAGAAGCTTGCAGGAGATGAATTGCGAGCAAATCACTCTGAAACAGCAGCAAGCGGTACGGACGCACTTGAAAAAGACGGACAAGCTGGATCAAATGCAGGTCATCAGCAGAGCAGGATATGGCTTGTACAAATTTGTCCTCGCCGTTTTGGATTATTGTGCCGTTTATAAAGAGGTACTCATCTAATTTCGTAAGCTTTAATCGATTTAATTTTTTAAACTTTGACTTAATTCTTATTTTTCTTCTCTTGCTCTTCATCATTGAATGGTTCATCTTTCATGTATATATATAGTGATAAGTGCTAATTTTCTTATTTTTAGATATATTATGTATAGCGATTGGCAGAGAAGCATCCTGGAAAAAGATTTACCTCTGTCGAAGCCTTTTAAGCTCGAGACTCAACTGAGCGACGACGTTGAAATCAGCACGTAAGTAAGATTAGAGCATTTAATTGTGAAGTAAATGCATCCATATTAATTAAAGAAGATATTATTAATTTAGTCTTGTTATTTGATCAAGTTTTCATCATATATTTACGTGGATCAAAATTAAAATTTCAAAGATACTATTAAACTTTTCAAATTAACAATATAAAAGAAGAATAATAATTGCTCGCAAATGCAGTTACTTTATTTTATCTAATAGAGATGTATTCGCGTATAACTAAAACTATAGCTGAAAGAAATCACGTGATAAATATTGCGTCTTTCTAATATTTAATGCAACTTGAAGATGGAATTCGGAAGGTCTTCCACCGGATGAGTTGTCCGTGCAAAACGGCATATTGACCACGAAAGCAACCAGATTTCCGCTTTGCATCGATCCGCAGCAACAAGCGCTGAATTGGATCAAGAAGAGAGAGAAGAAGAAGAATCTAAAGATCCTCTCCTTCACGGACGCGGATTTCTTGAAGCAAGTAGAATTGGCGATCAAATATGGTTTACCGGTACTTCTCCAGGATGTTGACGAGATTGATCCCATCTTGGACAACATCTTATCAAAAAATATTCAGAGTAAGTTATGACATTAAAAAGAACCGCAATTCGCTGAAATATAGAAAGTGATTTGATTTCATCAAATTAAATTTGTTTTTTGTTGCAGCCGCTGCAGGACGAACTTTTGTCATTATCGGTGATAAGGAGATAGATTATGATCCAAGATTTCGTATGTATTTGACAACCAAAATGACTAATCCAGTGCTGGATCCCGCCGTGTATGCCAAAGCAGTTGTTATCAATTATATGGTTACCACAGCAGTAAGTTAAATTTAATTAATTACGAACAATTAATTATTAATACGATATAGTTATACTATTAATATCAAGTTATAGCTATAATAATTATGTTATAATTACATACATTTATGTTATAATTATTATATTATAAATGTGTCTTAAATTTAGAGATAATATAGAATATATTTATATAACTTTTAAAAGATTGTCGGTATTTCAATATCAAGTTTTATACAATAAAATCTCTTAAGATACATCTTTTCAGGGTTTGGAGAACCAACTTTTATCAGTCGTTGTGAGAATCGAAAGACCGGACATCGAGGAGCAACGGGAAACGTTGATCCTAGAAACGAGCGAGAACAAGAACTTGTTGCAACAATTGGAAGACAGTCTCCTGCGCGAAATCGCTATGGATCAAGGTAACATGGTGGACAACATCGATTTGATCGAGACTCTGGATAACATCAAGTCTAGAACCAACGAAGTGATGACGAAACTGTTCCTTGCGGAAGTCACTTCGGCCGACATAGACAAACTTCGCGATGGCTATCGACCGGCGGCGGAACAAGGCGCTATTCTGTTCTCCGTGCTGGCCGATATGGCTACCGTAAACACCATGTACCAGTATTCTCTGATCAGCTACGTCGAGGTGTTTATCCATTCGCTTAAAAGATCGCTGCCGGATCCAGTGCTCGTCAAGCGGTTGCAGAACATAATTCCGACGTTGACAAAGAACGTCTACGATTACGGCTGTATCGGCATCTTCGAGCGGCACAAATTGCTCTTTTCCTTGCAAATTTGCGTGAAAATAGAAAGAAATGTGGGCAACGTAAACCAGAAGCAGCTAGACTTCTTCATCAAAGGTAGCATGTCCTTGGAGAAATCACCCCAAGTGAATCCCACCAGATGGCTGCCGCAATTGGGCTGGGAGGACATTCTCAAACTGGCGAGCGATTTCCCGGACAAATTCGAACAGCTTCCAGAAGAGCTGCGGGATTGCGAGGACGAATGGAAATATGTAAACATTCCAAACGGCATTTAATCAAATAATTTTATTTTATTTTGCAGCTAAATAATAATAGAAATTAATCATTATCATATACAAATAAAATTTTTTATTAAAAAATCCAATATTATAAAAATACTTAACAATTTTCAAAATTTTAAGAACACAAAAAAGTTTAAATAATTATATTTTTTAATTGAAACAAAAATTTTGCAAAATAAGAGTCCTCTTGAAATATGTGATAATTAATCGACTAATCGATATTCGTTTTAGTGGTACGATTCGGATACGCCGGAATCGGACGAACTGCCGTGCGAATATAATACGCGATTGACGCCCTTCGAGAAACTGATGCTGATACGCTGCTTCCGCGTGGATCGCGTTTACCGCGGCATCATCAATTACGTTATCGATATCATGGGTGAGCAATACATCACGCCACCTCACATGAGCTACGATATGATTTTCGAGGAGAGTACGCCCACCATGCCCGTGGTCTTCCTCTTGAGCCCAGGCTCGGATCCTACTTCGGAGTTGATGAAGCTGGCCGATCGATACGGCTGCGGTGGTGGAAAGTTCAGATATCTTTCGCTTGGTCAAGGTCAAAACAAGGTAGGGAATAACGCATGTGTAATCTGATTTTTGAGATTTATGTTTAACATATAATGACTGCAACAATGTCTTAAAGTTACTTACAAAAAGTTACTTTTATATAAAAAACACATTTTTTTTATTAACAGATCGCGATGGAATTGTTGGATATAGCGATAGCGAGAGGTCAGTGGCTGATGCTCCAGAATTGCCACCTCTTGTTGTCTTTCACAAAAGATCTAGAAAAGGTTGTGGAGAACATAGGAAAGCCTCATCCTGACTTTCGCTTGTGGCTCACTACGGAACCTACTCCTAATTTTCCAATCGGAATACTGCAACAATCACTAAAAGGTATAATAAAATATACTTTGTCGTTATACATCGTATTCTAGAACGAATAGTTTGCAGTGGTAACGGAACCACCAAGCGGATTGAAACTAAACTTGCAAAACACGTACATCAACATGCGACCACAGATTTTGGAAAGTTGTTCCCATCCTCTTTACAAGCACTTAATTTACGTTCTAACTTTCTATCATGCGGTTATTCAGGTAAATTTGAGATAATCGATATATTTAATTAATAATTAGTAGAATTTTTATTTAAAAAGAAACACAAAACATATCCTAGGAGAGAAGAAGGTACGGCAAAATTGGATGGAATATAAAGTATGATTTCAATGAATCAGATTTTAACGTGTGTACTACCATCCTAGATACTTATTTGACAAAAGCACTGGCAACAGAGGAGTCTAACGTACCGTGGAACAGTCTCAAGTATTTAATTGGAGAGGTAAGTTTGCGATATAAATCTCCGTTTAAAAATCTTTTCTAAGTCCTACATTCTTGTATTACTGTCTGAAGTATTTCTTAAGAATGTATGTGTCATATATCAAAACATTGACAAAACCATGAAAATTTCGTAGACTGTTCTACTATTTCTTCTGAGTACGTGTGCAAAACCTGAGCACATTTTTTTTAACAATTTGGAAATTATTTAAGTTTAAAGTTAGTATTAATTCTTATGAAAAATCGCGTATTGTAGCACTTATTGACAAATTTGATAAGGAAAAAATATTGCCAACAAAATAAAATTGTCATATATTAAGAAAACTCTAATAAATATTTGTGCAAAATTTGATTTAGATTCACTTACTACGTTTAAAAATTATTTACTAAAAATTGTAGAAAAATATTATCTTTCTCTCTCTCTTTCTGCAAATTACTCATTTTTTTTGTTTTTTGCAGTTTATTTCAGGGGGTATTCATGATCAAAAGTTTTTGTCATAAATTAGGAAAAATATTAATTACAACTATTTTCTTTTACGAAGACGTTAAAAACTATATTATTTTGTGATATTTTAATTCTTTTTATATAATCCGGATTTATCTATTTGATTTTTCAAACAATATAAACGTAAGAAATACATATATATTTTTTAAATTTTGACAGTTTTTTGCTACTATTGTACAGCCAAAATATTCTTAAATAAATTTGCACCATTTATCGCCTTTTGTATTTAAAAATAATTTAGGTGATGTACGGCGGAAGAGTGATAGACAGCTACGACCGTCGCGTTTCTTACACCTACATGGACGAGTATTTCGGTGATTTTCTGTTTGATGAGTTTCAACCGTTCTACTTTTATAAGAATACCGTCAACTACGTGATACCACTGGAAGGAGATCGCGACGATTATTTACGATTCATCGAGGAGCTTCCTCTCGTTAATACTCCCGAAGTGTTTGGATTGCATCCGAACGCCGAGATCGGATACTTTACGCAGGCAGTCAAGGGAATGTGGAGGCGTCTCATTGAACTTCAGCCACAAACCGGTGCGAATACTATATCATTTTTTCCCGCCTTACATTATGTGTCTATAATATTATCGTTATAATCGTTTATTATTATTATTATCATTATTATTATCATTATCATTATCATTATTATTATTATCATCATTATTATTATTATCATCATTATTATAATAATAATAATTATTATTATTATTATCACTATTATAAAGACTTTAAGATAAATTTATAAGATTGAGACTAAAATAAAAAATGTAAAAAGATATTTAATCAAATATTACGTGTTTCTATCAAATTAATAACAAATCATATATTTTTATTGCTATTATCTTGTCTATGAAAGTTATATATTTTACTTATATTTTAGGAATATTATTTTAGAAATATCAATTTTGTTTTGTTTTTATAATTAATGACTGTTTGTAGCTCGCTTGGATAAAAAGAGTAAGTAGCACTTAAAAAACATTATCGCACATTACATTTTCCAATAAATCATAATGACATCCCGTGTGTTAAATTTTCAGCGGTGAGCGTTACCGGTATCGGCAAAGATGAATTTATCGATAACATAGCGAAAGAGATCTCGGTCAAGATACCCGCGCCATACGATATTAATAAAGTCAAGAAAAATTTCGGCGTGGCCGTAACACCAACTGCAATTGTCTTGTTTCAAGAATTAGAAAGATTCAATAGATTAATAAAAACGATAACGAGGACATTGAACCAGCTAAGAAAGGTCGCGCAATAAATCTTCAAAATTCGATAATCCATCATAAACTTAAATATATAGCGATGCGTCTCACAAAATATTTTCATTATTTACTTTAATAAATCCCATTTTATTATTGCATTTACATATTTTGTTCATAAGAGATTTATATCTTAAAGAAAAAGACAATTTTTAAATTTTCTGTGAGATTGTTATATTTTTCTGGTACTTTTTACAATATAATATAATTCTAACTTTTTCCTCTAGCTTTGTGTGTGCTGAATCTATTGTGCAATTTGGTATCCGAAAAGAAATGCTTCATCTTTAATTTTAGGCCATCATAGGTGAAATCGGAATGGACACGACGCTGGAAAACATTTCCGTGGCGCTTTATAACGGTACTCTGCCCAAAGAATGGGCCAACTTCGCACCGGACACACGAAAAAATCTTGCTGGTTGGATGGACCATTTTCAAAGAAGAATAGACCAATACACGAATTGGGTAAGAAATTGAGCGCGCAAATTATTGCAATCCTATTCGATTCATTCTATTTTGATTAATGATACTTTCCTTCACCTTCGTCAGTCTGGCGCGAACGAGCCCGTAGTACTTTGGTTGTCTGGATTACACGTGCCGGAAACTTACCTGGCGGCTTTGATTCAGATAGCTTGTCGCAAGAACAACTGGCCTCTCGACCGTTCCGTCATTTACACGACGGTGTCGAGATTCTCCAAACCTGACAATGTAGAAGAAAGACCTGATCAGGTGAATTTTACCATGCGATATTTGTTCGTCTTATTTTTCAACATGTTTTATTACAGACAATAATGCCAATAATTACTGTTTTTATAAATAGGGCTGTTATGTGTACGGATTGTACTTGGAAGGTGCCAGATGGGATGTCGAAGAGCATCGTTTGAAAAGATCGCATCCGAAAGTTTTGATAGAGGAGCTGCCAATATTAACAATCATACCTACTGAAATTCATCGACTGAAATTACAGGTATCAAAAACATCACGCTATTTCTAATGATTTATCTCGAATTGAAAGATTCATGTTGCAAGTCATGTCTTTGAATAATTTACAATTCTTATTCTTTATAAATGAGGTTAAATTGGTTTGTACAGTGTGACCATTAGGATTGTCTAAAGTAAATGGTTATTACTGCGCAACAAATAAACCAAACAAAATGAATGGAACGCCATTTTGTAGAGGAGACTGGTCAAATTTTATTACCATAAGTATAAAACAAATATATAACATTTTAATAATTTAAATACACATTATTAAAAAGGGAGCAGAATTTGCTTGCGCGTATGAGCTAATGGTATATGTTTTCAAAATGTTGTCCATCGGAATCGGCACAGAATTGCAACCGTTTTCAAAAACTTTCAAATACGTTGTCCAACATGACTGTAGGAATCAATTCATCAAATGTTTCATCCGTTGTAACCATAGACATAGTATATCTAGACCGAGTGTTGAGGAGTGGGAGCCGAGGTGCACGTAGAAAAGGACATACTCTGTTTCGTGCCCCTTGAGTACGAGATGGATCGGATAAATCATGTCTACGATCATTCAAAGTGCCATATATACTGAAATTATTAATAATCCTGCAAAAAACTATCAAAAAATAAATAAAATCTCAGATCACCAACATAATGTGTGGGTTACATTAGGTTATGGCGCGATTCCAGGGAGGAAGCATATCTTCTGAATATAGTTTCGCTTGAAACTTTTTTACATCCATATTTACTACGGAATCCACGATACGCTTCAGTATAGTTTTTGCCTCTATTGTAGAAACACTCGATAAGAAACACTTTTTCTTTGATGCTTAGCGCGTTCATTCTGACACTTGTAAGCTGGTTTGTACAACGGCTCAAGTAAAATTGACAGGTCTTAAGTATCGGAACCTAATCAGTTAAATGATCGCCGAAATCGAGGAGAGGAAATGTAACCGTTTACTTTAGACATAATCCTAATGATCACCCTGTATTAATTATAATTGGTAAAATAGATAACTATTTTTTATATTTTCTGCAGAATACGTTTAAAACTCCCGTATATACTACATTGAACCGGCGAAATACTCTAGGTGTTGGTTTAGTTTTCGAGGCAGATTTGGCGACTCCGGAACATATTTCACATTGGGTACTTCAGGGTGTTTGTCTTGTATTAAATACAGATTAAAACGATATTTGAGATCAATGATCAAATCTTTTTTCAGTATACTTATTACGTATTAATATTATAATTAATTAATATTCAAGAGAATAATTGTAGTATAAACACAAACAATCATTAAATTATATTCTTAACTGTCATAAAATTTTGTCTATGTTTATATTATATGTATAGTTCTATAAATTTTTTATTACATGAGAATAAAGCGGTGGAAAAGAAGTTCAATGTTCAGATTAACTTACACCTCACAAATCGTTTTTATTTTCACATATATTATAGAGGGCACATTCCTAAGTAATAAGCACTTTGAATTTTGTGGCGCTCTCTTCTGGTTCCAGAGATATGCAATTTTAAAGTTTCACAGTTTTAATGCTTTTTCTGTTATAAAATAAGAAAAAATAAAGTTTGTTTTTGTTGTATTTGTGTAAATCAGATGTGGAAAAAGTGTTTGTTTACATTTCGGGAACGAAGCTCCTTGAATTTTTCCATTTTCCACGCGAAGCGAAGTTTAACGCAAACCTATGTTTTTTAATAGTGGAGCCCCCCCGCAGGGGGGACGGAACATACTCTCTCCACGCATATACTTTTTAATGTGTAAATATAAAGTGGAAAGTTGTAAACCCTTGTGAAACCTTACTTCGCATTAAAAAGTATATGCGTGGAGACAGTATGTTCCTCCCCCCTGCGGGGGGGCTCCACTATCAAAAAACTAAACACATAAGTTTGCATTGAACCTCGCTTTACGTGGAGAAGCAATATTTTTATCTGCAGTAATGGATAGAAATTCGTAAAGCTTCATTGCTGTATTTCTTTTGAAATTTCTAGCGGAACTGAACAAGTGTACGATTCTGAAGCGTACTAGCAGTAACATAAAAACAACTCTAAATGTAAACAAAAGTAATTCTTAGCGAAAATATACTAACAGTGACGCAAATGTAAACAAAAAAACATAAACACGCAAGTAAGATATCGTGAAAAGATCATAGAAATAAATGCAAAAATTATGATACTTCAAAATCGCATATCTCTGAAACCAGAAAAGAGCGCCACAAAATTCAAAGTGCGTGTTACTTAGGAATGTGCCCTCTATAATATATGTAAAAATGAAAATAATCCGTGAGGTGTAAGTTAATCTGAACATTTACCAATAGTGTTTTATAAAATTATATCATTATTTCATATATAATTTCAATATATTTAATGTTTTTTGTTACACAGTCCACGAAACTTGAGCTGTGGTAAGTACAGATTATAAACCCAGTTAGCCAAGTCTGTTCTAACAGATTTTGGCAAGGCCTGCTACAAATTATTGTCAGCAAAAAGGCTACGAATTGGGTACAAAAGTTGTTATTACCAATTAAGCTGGCAGATTGACGGCAAAAATTGAGCAAAGGTTGCCGACATAACCCGACAGTAAATTGACGGTGGAAACCGAGCAAAGCTTGCTGACATGACTGACAGACTGGCATCAAATTGTTGGCACGAACTGAGCAAGATCTGGCGTGCACAATCTAATAGCATATTGGCAGCAAAAACCAAGCAGAATATGACAAAGTATTACAAAATTCTATTATTTGAAATAGTATAGTTCAGTCGTTTACCGCTATGCGGCGTGTTATTCATATCTATACTCGTATTCAAGTTTTTGTCATGAGTGTATATAAAGCCTGCAAAATGTGACTAATAATATTGTAATATATCTATCTCTATCAATTCAATTTTTGACACGATGCCTATATAGGATAATTCAAATATTGAACTGATTTTTGGAAAATCGAACAAATAATTGTTCGATTTTTACTTATTCGGGCAATTCCTGTCCAAAAAAATCTTTAATTTTATAAATCAAATTATTTAAATTTACCTATATGTTTTAACACATTAATATGTATTATTATATATTAATACTGTAACTGATCTAATTTTTGTCGTCGAAAATTGCCGTAGATCTGCTGGGCATTTGGCGCAAA